GTCTTTGGTCTGCCCCTGAGGCTGGAAGCAGCAGTCAGCTGATCAGTGGTCCCAGCTGCAGAGGCACATCAGAGCCCTTGACTCCTATATGCACTTGACTCCTATATGCTGGGAGCAGGGCTAAGCTGACTGGCTTCCTACTTGCCAGTAGAGGGGAAGCCCGGGATCATGATCCCAGGCTCCCCCTGTACAACAGTAGGCCCAATGGGGATCTGGTCCCCAACCCACACTTGTGCATCAGATCCCATGGCACCTTTAGTTCAACATCTACCAGGGCCCTAGGGATACCCCTGCTGGGATGTGTTGCCACTATGGCATAGGCATACCCAGAGAACTTGATTCTTGATACTTATAAGCAAGTGTCAGGAAAATAATAGTATAGGGTAAAAAATAGGGGCAGGAGAAAGGGAAACAGGTTAAATAAAGAGATTTACATCTGTAGATCTTCTCCTCTAAAGAAGGAAAGCTCATCTTCTAGCAGTACTCAGAGAGTATCGTATTTTTGATCCTACCAAACAGCAGGTATAGAATGCTGTGCTTTAAAAATGGGAAGATGTGACGGCTATCGTCAAGATTTAAGAAACTTCAAGATTCGGAAACTACAAATGCCATGACAATAATGTAAAGAAACCCAAACCCATTTCAATTTCCAGTTCAGTGCTCTTCTAATTTTGTAGTAACAAAATATCAGTGCCCACAAGTGCACTCTGGCAAGGTTGCCATACATTAGGACTGAGAAAAAAGCCCATTGAACAGTGTTTACAGCAAATATAATACAAAGGTCCAGTGCTGCAAATATATGTGATTGTTCATGTGATCAGTCCCATTGAGTTACTGGGATTAACCACATAAGGCAAAGTCCACTTGTTTACCAGATTGAGGCCTAGTGCCCAAAGTAGGGCAAACCTCTGGCGGTAGCTCTTGAGCTAGTTGCTCATCACTTCTAAATTTGCAAGAATATTTCCCATCCTTTAACTGCTGGAAGAAAAAGATACAGTGCTTCATGGCTGCAATCTTGAAATGAAAACCAGTTGTAGGTACTATTAGCTGGCACTCTGCCAGTAGACAGGGACAGACAGAAATATGGGAAGGTTTTTAATATACTCCCAAAGAAAACCATCGGTAGACAAAGGAGTTGTATTTTTACCCTTTCTCTTTCATGCTGCCAGGAGTCTTTAAATAGATCCCCTAGTGGCTTGCACAGAATAACTCGCATTAGAGCCCAGGAGCTTGTAGAGCTTTGTGATGAAGCCTTAAGTAACATTAATGGAGATATACTAAATTTGTGTTCACTCTCTAGCCTGTTTTTTTCTTAATTGAATTTCAGGCAGCTTAATGGAGAGTTTAGCAAAAGACAAGGGAAGAATATATTTTCATGCCTTTTAGTACAGAAGATCTGAACAGCTATACATCTGGGTGTGAAGCATAATGGGCAAAGCTGAACTTTTCTGACTGGGAATTCTAAACCTTCACTAGGTATCATACTATGCAAGAAACAGGAGAGGCATCTGCTCTTTGAGGGCAATACCCACATTCAAATATTGATCTTGGGTTGGCTTTGCCTTTGCTTTAGCCTAACACAAATAATGAAAAAAAGACTTCTGACCAGATTCAAAGTCACTTTGGAGCCTGGAGCTGCAAGGGACATTCATTAGAACATGTGTGTACTGTCTATGTTGGAGTAAGTTACCAACAAGTGGGCGCTTTTTGATTCCATGTTAGTTGTTATGATCTTGGACTGGTAACTGAGGTTTGATTTTATTTAAGTTCCCAAAGAACTGGCAGGTGCAGGAACAAAAAGATAATCATGATTTTCTGTTGATTCTTATTCAGCAAATACATCCTTTCCAGTGGTTTCAGCATGGAGCCATCACACCAAATCCTGTGCTTCTTAATTAAGCTTATACTTTGGCAGACCTCACATTAGCATCTCTAAGAGCTTGCCCAAAGGAACAAACAGTGATAAAGAATGTCAAAATTTGGCCCATGAGAGCAACTCAGGTATTTTAACAAGGGGCACCACACTCTTGGGTCCCATTTAGCTCAACATTCGCACACCTCCGTACATGCCACAACAGTCATGTGAGTGTCAGTGTCATGGCATGCTTAACCTTTGCCAAACCAGAGCCCAGGCAGTGCCTCCAATCTTAAACTCATACATCTTAAAGGGCAACATAACCAGTGCTGCCTTCTACGTTGCCATATTTGTCATAGTTTACAGCTCAGTCATAATAAGCATGAAAATCTCATCAGCAGAAACAAAACATGAACGTGGAGAATCTTGATATAGTGGAATTCTTAATAGCTGTGTTTCCCCTATAACAATGTACCCGATAGACAATCAGTGTGTTACCAGAGGAAACGCTATGTTCCCTTTAATATAAAGGGTCTTTAGTCTGATATGCCCTGCACTTGATCCTAGTAAATAGGATGAAAGCGGATGGTGTTTGGAAGTGGCACTGCCAGTGCTACCCCAATTCTATTCTGAATTAGATTACATGAAAAAAGAAAGAATATATAGACTACCAGCTGCTCAAAGGCTTACTCCAACCTTGCTTTTATTGTTCTGCTAAGTTAGAGGTGGGGCAACAGAGGGATTCCAAACATTCCATTACTGAGAAACTTTAATATGTTCCACACTGACACATATAAAAAGGAAATAACAGCTGATCATCATCAGGCCAGGCAACAGCATCTCTTCATATGCATGTACAGAATTGTGGGTAATTAAAATATGCCGCTTGCCCACAGGGAGTCATGGAAATGAGCTAATTTGACTGCGGCTAAACATTTATCCTGGAATTAACTTGAGTTACAATGCAACAAGCATCCAGTGGAAAGCCATCACAAGTTATATGAAATCACAAATGGTAAGGAGAAGATGAATTAAGCACTGCTATTCACCCTCTTTTGAGATAGGAGAACAAAGAGATAGTCAATGAAACTGAAAGGCAGCAAATTTAAAATCAATGAAAGGACACATATTTTTACATAATGAACAATAGCTCTACTACTCAGTTCCACAGAATAGCACTGAGGCTTCAAGAAAGGATTAGATTTTTTCTGTCTGAAGGATATGAACCTCTAGAGTTACAACAAAGGCATTTTTGGAAAAGTTTGGAGAAAGATTAGAAACCCTCATGCTTCAGGGCATATGCCAACTTTTTAAGTCAGTGGCATAGGGATACATTTTCTGGTACATAGGTTATTTGATAACGGCCTATTAGAGGGATTTTGGTATCTCTCTGTGAAGTGGATTATTCAAGCCGCTGATGAGCACACAGCACTCAACTAACTGGGCCAGCAGTCCATGCCAATATAGCAGTTCCTATGTTCCTGAAACAATAATTCTAATTATCTTGTGAGGTGAAGTGCAGAGTCTGAGAGGTGTAGGGATTTTTAATGAGGTTAGTTTTGCTTTTTCTTTTTTAAAATATGCTATAACATTTGGATAAGAAGATGTCTTGGTGGCTTGACATCAGCCCAATCTGGCAGGCTTTTCTCAGGGTTGTCTAGATCTAGGAATAACCTCTCACTTCCTGGTTGTCTGAAGAGCAGACTGATCAGAGAGGTAATATGGTTGGATCCAGGGGATGTAGTGAATGAAGTTGACTACATAAGCTCTCCTTGTCAAATGATTCATGGAGGATCACTGATGACAGCCTCAGAGAAGGTGCCACAAATCTCTCCCATTTAGGGGAATGCTGTTACCATCTCAGCAATCAAAGCAAGTGAGGATAAACAGGCTTTAAAGCCTCCAGGCACATCTGGGACTCTCTTGGTTAGGCCAACTGCTATTGTGCAAATTGCCCGTGCTTAGATGGCTGCATGACATACCACTGCTATAAACAGTACGCAGACCAAGCTGGTCTGCTCATCAGGCATGGGTAATCTACATACATGCATCTGTTTAAAAATAGGTGGTGTAAAAAATTGCATCTAAAGATGTAGGACTGACAGGCAACCGCTTAAATAATGATTCCATAATAAGAATATCTGGCCAAACTCCACTGATAAATGTTTTAACTCTAATAAAAATACATTTTCACAAAGTAAACTTACAACAACAAATACCTGTTTTATCCCCTTTATGTTTTAAAACCAAATTAGTCTGAACATGCCTTAGTAAGATAGTTATACCAGAAATAAGATTTCATAATTCCAGCAGGAGGTGGTCAACTTTTATGTCATTTGAGTTTAGATTGCAAAGTTCTGATTCAAACTGGTAAGCCATGGGATTGCTCATGTACATAACTGCTTGCTAGCATGAATAAGATCTCACTATCTGTGCAAAAGTGAGTACTGCTAACAAATTCAAAAGAAAAAAAAATGAGATCCTGTGAAAACAAGATGTTCTTTTAAGTTGGGACAGATAACAGAATCATGCCTGTTATACCTACATGTAGTAACTCTACCAACCATCTGGGCTGCTTCCACTAGGAAATCATTTTAAAACACAGCACTGGTATGAAGAGAATTCACTGCAATTTTAAATGATCACTTTGATTGTTCCTTTCAGTTCTAGTACATGGTGTCCCTTCCATGCTCCCATTATGACAGGTTGTGTTATGAAGTTATACAAAATTGCTGATAACACTTAGCATTTTTATTGCAATTTTTGTCTTCAAAGAGCAGTACAAACATCAGCAAATTAACCTTCATGGCATCCCTGTGAGGTAGGAATAATAAGTACTGACTCTTAGGCTATTTTTTAAAGAAAAGAAAACTGTGGTAGTTGTTTAAATAAACTTCAGAATGACTATTAGAATTCTGACTCCTAGTCTCAAGCAATAAGCACCAGACTATTGATTTGAAAATTTAAAAAAATTAAAAAGTAAAATGTTTTTGCATTCACTCATTTACTGCTGATCTGCTACATCAATACTAGATCATTTCATTAATACATTTAAAATAAGATTGAGATATGTTTTTAACTATCCTTCTGTTTTTTATTATTGTTATTTAAGCAAAACATTTTAGCTTTTACAGGAGTGACTCACCTGAATCTCAGTAGATACATGGTTCTGTCTTCTTTAATTAAGTTCTTATGAGGTTTTATCCATTACAATGAATTCCAGTTATACTGTACTCTGATACATTATCATTCAGTTCACAGTCATACTCTTCTTTTGTTCTACACACATAAAAAACAGTTATGTTCATGCCTCTTGCAGAGATACTCCTTTTAAAGTGAAATATTATCCTGGAAAACAATGATTTCAGGGGATTGAAAGATTCCTTATGTTCTTCTGCAAATGTTTCGGGGTCTTGCAGATTGCAGAAGAAAGCAGTGCCCTGCCTGAGCATCCTCCAGTTTGATCTACTGACCGCATATCCACATCGCATTGTTTGTTGTGCTGTGGGGGTAAGCTAACTGCTAAATATACCACTCAATGCTAATGCCAAGACAAACACTGTGGGTTTCCTCAGAGTTTTTAGCCAATCAAAGACATACATTAAATCCATTCTAATCCATAACTAGTTTGGTTCAGTCCCTGGTAAAGCTTCCCAGAAGTTTCAACAAATAATAATATGCAAGTTAAAAGCGCCCCTGCAAAGCATGACACACAAAGCTAGAAATAAATATTGCCTATTGTTTCAAATTATTCCAAGCACTCCAGCAGATGACTGGCAAGAGATCAGCATACATAAGTAGTAATAAAAGTAAACAGTTCCATTTTAAACGAGCAGGCTTGCCTGTCTTCATAGAGCCTTATTGTAATAGGACAAAGACAGTGCTGGGGATACTATAGTTCTTTCTGTGAATTCAGGACAGAATCCAGTGCTTCCATTCACCCCAAATTCTTACAACTGAGTATCAGTGCCAAGTCACAGACAGAAGCCCAGCACATTCCCAAAAGAAAAGTACTTCACTGTTTTATTCAGAACCATTGTATATGTTACCTATTTACTTTCTGGTGCTTTCATATGCATCCTCATACAGACACATAAGCAAAGAAATAATGATGATAAGCAGATGCAGGCAGTAGAGCTGAAGTATATTTTAAGTGAATACACTTTAACTTAAAATATGATAGATGAAGAATGTGTGCTTGTCAGATGAAGAGAGTAAATGCTCAATTTGAGTATGTTGAAATCTGGTGAAAGCTCTTATGCTTACCTTTGGGAAATGTGCTGCTCCTTCCTTCCCTTACACTCTTCGGAGAGCTAAAAAGAGGTCCTGTTACTTCCAAATGCTTTTGTTCTTCTGTCCTCTGTCACATGGCTTGCCTTTTATATTTGCAACACACAAAAGTTAGGGCTGTTGTTTAAGAGAGAGAGAGAGAGTGCGAGAGAGGGAGAGAGAATGTCAAATGGAAAAGTGCCATTGCAGTCATATATCAATCAGGCTAGCGGCAGCAGCAGCTCACTGGCAAATGGGAATTCCACAGAAATGTGAAGCTCTTGTTATCTGAGAAATCACTAAACACCACCAGCCAAGCTCCCCTCTGCAGGGACTTCTTATTATTGGAGATCCAGGAAATAGAAGTAAATGTACTTTTTTCTTTTAAATCAGGAGATATATTGTCATGCCATAAAAGGCAGTGAAGTAAATATCCTGAATGGAATTCCCTCCTCAGATGTTCTGTGTATAAGACAACACAGTCAGCATGAGATGTAAGATGCTTGTGTTGAGTGAATAATTTGCAACTAATAATGTATTTGTATTTGTGCTTGGAAAATAGCCATAAGGCAACTGCAGTTTCTTTGGGCTTATTTATTATTCTTTTTTTCCCTGTTAAATAACATTGAGGACTTTTTACTTTATAGGCTCCTTCCAGATATTCCAACTTCAAGCTATGTCACTTTATTACAAGTCATCAAACAAGTCACATGGTATTTCTTCTGTTTTGTAATTGGAAGAGTCGGCAAACATTTCCTATATACATACTTAAATGCACAGATACAGTTTTTGCAGTTAATCCTCCTTGCAGCTCTGAAATGTCTCATACAAGGAATACAAGCATTGTCAATATTTGTGGTTAAAAATTCAAGCAGATATTTACAAATTTCTTTTTTCACTTTATTCATCTTTTCTATAGAGTATCAGCTTTTAAAGCTCAGACTTTTTAATTAATTTATTTGTTTAGATATTACCTGTGACATGCATAATAATCATTAATTTCCTAAGAAGTTGAAAACAGAGCCAAATCTATAAAAAAAAAAAAAAACAACAACAAGGGCCACATGAATTCGTCTGATAGACAGAATACAGTAGCTATGACAATATTTCCTGTATTTCCACTGGGGCATACTGGAGGTATGATATGTGTTTCAGTCATTTGCCACAGAATTGTAGTCACCCAAACATCAATCCAGTGACTGCAGAAGTGTAACATAAGTAACAACAAAGCTATCTGAATAATTAAAAATAAATTGATAACCTTGTATATAGAAGTGGCCATTCACAAGACATACCTGTTAAGAGGCACTGATCACCAGATGGATTGAATCCTGGGTTGATAGTGTTTCAGCTCTAAAGGAAAGTTGCTATTTGACAGATGATGTTATTAGCTAAATATCTTATGTGGTATAAGATCAAAGAACAGATGGAAATTATGACTTAAAAATAGAATAATCTAAAAGGGGAATGGCTTGTCAATGAGTAGGTATCATGGAAACAATAAAGAACACATTCTTTGGCTTGATTTACTATGGAGTCAGATGGAGGATGAATACATTGGCCATATTAACTTCAGTCTCAGAACTGGAGTTTCGGCTAGGTTTTTTATTTTTCTTGTTTTTGTCTTTTCTCTATACGAATCTAGTCCTTCTCTCAGTTGCCTGCATGCCATTTACCTTGTGCAAATAAACTTTGTGACTCCCTCCCTGCCATCATCAACTTTGATTGTGTAGGTATGGGATGGTGAAGTGCATACTCTAAAGCCTCTACCTAAAGTACCTTCATTTTAGTTGGCACTTAATATTACAGTGATGATCTTACACAATACTTAACTGGAATATAGTCCTTCTGTTTTTAAATTTGCCAATTTTGACTGGAAAATCTTTTTAATACAGTAACCACAAACCTTTAAAATGAAAGGCACCAAAGATGGTTTCTTTAATTTTTTTCTGATGCCAGGTTCATAATAAATATGAAGGTCTCTTCCATTTTCCAGTAGAAAGAAAGCTTCTTTGCTATTGGTCCCCTGCATAAAGGAATTGGAATATGGAAGATGAGAGTCTATGCAAGCCTTTCATAAGACAAGAGATGTCGTGCCCAAAGTCTTTACTGAAGTAATATCTCCTAGGTTATTTGTGTGTGTGCTGCCTAGATAGGGTGTCTTTAAGTCTTCTACAGCAGAGCCTGTCTACACTTCCTGTTAGTTGTTTGTTAGGTACTGTGCACGCTTATGATACTTAGTAAATAATAATAATCCAACGAACCTCAATGGTGATGACAAATACTGGTTTGTTTTCTATTCTAATGCTGAATATCTACAAAAGGAAAAAAGGACACCATAAATATTGGGACAATACATTTAAAATGTTTCTAATTTTTCACTTTCAATTTTGTATCCATTTGTGGGAGGAAACAATACAATACTGAGTTCTAATTACCTGCTCAATTTTACAAATCAGATGGTTATTACTGTATATATTACCATTTGGAACCCCCAAAATTAACTCTCACCAAATTGAAGCCTAAAATTGGAGGAGCCTTTAAAATATGGCCCACATTTGCTTAACATTCATAGCTCTTCATGTCCTTCAGTCATTAGGGCTGGTATCACCATGCAAAATGGAAATTTGGAAGGAACACCTTAAAAAGGAAGTCTCAAGGACTCAGAGATAATTATCAAAGTAGTTTAGATGCCTGAAGATGAAAATGGATGCCTACTGGGATTTTCAAAAGTATTTCAGAACCATAGATGGCAAAATCCCATTGAAGGCAATCTGAAAATCTGGCTCTTAGGCCACGGCAAGGACAGATCCAGAGCAGGGGCAGATGGGAGGTGCAGTTGCCCCTCACCCCCTTTGATTTCTGCTCCACCCAAACTTTAAATCCTGGAAGGGACATAGGCATTTCTATTCTAGTAGCCCTGAGAAAGTCACTTGATTCATAGATTCATAGATTCATAGATTAAGGGTCGGAAGGGACCTAGTAGATCTTCTAGCCCGACCCCCCGCCAGGGCGGGAGAACAACAAAAACCCCAAAAAGAGAAATGGGACTCAAACGAGTCCAGCTAGGTGGGCATCCAGCCTCTTCTTAAAGACCCCCAGGGTAGGGGCCAGCACCACTTCCCTTGGAAGTTGGTTCCAGCTCCTAGCTGCCCTAACGGTGAAGTAGTTTTTGCGGATGTTCAATCTATACCTCCTCTCCAACAGCTTGTGCCCATAATTTCATGGCTCATTATCTCCCTGATTCCTGCTAATGTCTCTTTACTCCATAAGTGTTAAAAACTTTTCTGCTTTTTAATGGTCTTGAAGGTCCGCTATTCAAACTATCCTTTCTTCTGCAATTTTGCTATCTGTTAACCTTTCCTGGAAATGGCCCCCTTTTACATCAGTCCTGCAGACTGCCTTTAGTTACAGGTGAAAACCTTAACTCAGATGTAGAATTGACTGACAGTGACATATTGGAAGCACTGTCAAGGCACTCAAGGAAACTAGATTTTGTTTTATAAGAGACATACATTTTCTATAATGACTACAGGGCTAATGACACAATTTTTTTTACTATTTTAACTCTTATTTGTCTAGGTTTTTGTGTTTTTAAAAATAGATATAACCTAACTAATTAGTGCACATTCTAATAGATGTGTTTTTGCTTTGTTGTTAAACTGAATAATATAGCACTAGCCCCCTAGCAGATTAGTAAAGCATCTATTTTCTCTTTAACTGGAGAAAAATAAGTGATGTGTTATATGTACTGATGTGATACATCATTTGCACCCCCTTTTCAAAATACTAGATCCACTCATGGGCCACACTGAGGTGAAAGACTACTCAGTTACACTGCCAAGAAATTAACCCCAGCCACCTGCTCCCATTCCTTTCACAACAATCCTTGAAATCAGGGAGTAAGGATGACCTGGGGGTGTTTCACACTGCTGCTCTTGGGACACTAGAAATGCAGATTTTGGAAATGGGACAAGGAGCATACCCCAAGTCTCCTCATCTTCTTGCTTCTGGGTTGATGCACACAGAGCTGAAGCAGTTTGATGGGATTATTCCCTTCAATGGCCTGACTGACCCCGTCACCACAGCAGTATAGATATACCGGGGGTGACTTAGGCCTTGACATGCACTGAGTATTCAGGAGATGGAGCCCCTTCATCTGCCTGAAGTTCTAGTGAACTCAAGGATTCAGTGCATTGCATCTCATTGCAAGACTGAGGCCTTGATTTCATTTCTACCATATTCCTTTATGGCATGCTCTTGTTCTAGCAACTATTAACTCCTATTCATCTATAGGAAGTCAGGATCTTAGAATTTCCTATAATTTAGTAGGAGAGAAGTCTTTGTCCTATTGAACTCAATTTGAGTTTTGCCACTGACATCCAGGGGGGGCAGTCTTACATTCCCTGTGTCACAGATTTATTGTGACATGCATTGCAAGCTTTTATACCCAAATCAATTTATTTTTAATTTGCAGTAGTCTCATCTGTTGCCATTCCATATCTTTTCCTCTGGCAGTTTTCCATTTGAAGACAACTGTAACACCTCTCTTTAGTTATGGGTTTATTTCTCAAAACCAATACCATGTGTGATCAAGCTGAAAACACTAATGAAAAGTCTATAGCCAATGGTTTAAGAACCTGAGATACAGCAGAGTTTAGGTAACTGGTTATCAGACCAGGAAACCTTTCACCTTGAAATCAGTATTTCAAATTCTTCTTTTATCAAATTATTGCCCATCTAGTTTATATAAAATCATTTAATAGTCTCATTTTCTTTTGTCACTGGGCAGCAACTCTTCACATTGTCAAAAGCACCGTCAGAATAGGTACTTGATGTGTCTGTTGACTTCGCCGGTAGAGACCTCCCGAATTATTTAACTCCAGTTAAAATCAGAAAAATTGTATGTACAAGTACTGCAAGAATTTGAAGACAGAAAGATATAGAGGGGAAAGGTATGTTCTGGAGTGGGGCACTGGATTATTATTGAACTGATAAAGTATAAATCATGCTAGGAATTAAGTTTGCTGTAGAATTTATATTTCTAAATCAGAGATGTCCAACTTCCCTGATCCGTTGGGCCAGACCTGGATTGTGGGTCTCATCATGGGCCAGATCAGGCCCAGGGCATGGGGCACTGGCCATGGCCACTGTAGCAGTGGTGGCAGTTACTACTGCAGCAGCCATGGTGTCAGTCACTGCAACAGCAATGGGACAAGCAGGTGCAGGGCAACAAATGGCTGTATTGTACAGCCCTTGCTCCCCTGACTGCTGACAAGGGCCATGTCCACTGAGGCCTCAGAGCCCAAAATTCTGCAGCAGGCCATGCCCACCACTAGCCATGCCCCCAACTTACAGCAGCCCACTGGAAGGATCAGCTCCATGGCCTGGATTTGGGCTGCAGGCCATATGCT